TCTAAGATTTAGGAAGCTTAGTTTTCAAAGACTGACATTGCCCTCTACATATCTTCATCTATGCAGTAGGAATTTAACAACCTCCAGACCAGTCTGGACTCAAAGTAACTACATGGTTGAGTCATATTCCTAAACAGGTCTAAATCTTTATTCAAAGGAGTGTTGTTTGGATGATACTATGAGGATGCATAGATCTGAATCAAAAAATAAATGGTAACTGTTGTCTGATCTGGACTGTATCAAGAAAAGATGAACGAAATCCGTGATGCTAAGCCAATAACAACAACCAAAATTCACAGGAAATTTAGGATATTTACTACTTTCAGTTCTGCTGTATATTTACTATACTTGGACAGATGTTTTCTTTTATGACATTTTTAGCTGTTCCTCTCAACTTAAACATTTAATTTCAGATTGACATGACTAAAGTATTCGTATCTATATGCAAATTTGATTATTACCACTAATATCTGAAAAATCAAAGAACTGACACTCTATCAGAACATTAGCTCTTAGTCGCTGAGGAATATAAAGTTAAGTTGTATTTTAGTGGAGTTTACAAAAAAAGGGGGGAGAGGTCAAATTTCAGAGAAATAGTATCCTTACATTTACGTAAGCAATTTTAAAATAAATCACTTTTATATACCACTTACGTGTGCCACTTCTTTACTTATATGATAAATGTAACTTATATTATTTATATGATAAATGTAACTTTTTCAACTTATAAAAATTATTAAATAAATTAATAAAAGGACAACACTTTGAAATACCAACACTGGATTTCTACTCCTACACTTGACATCAGACAAGTGTAAAAATAAAGTTTTCATCAAGATATTTCAAAAAAGTGCATTTGTCAAGGTGGAAGTATGTTTTATGAGGATTAGATTTAAAATTTAAGAACATGGATGTCTATAAACACAATCTTTATCAGAATTTATGAAGTCTATGACAGTTTATAATGACAGAATCTAAGTATTAAGGGTTAAAGAAACTAAAACCTATTAAACAATATTCATTCATTACTCGCTTGTAAAGTAAGAGAATCATTCAGACTTGAGAAATAAGTCTTAGACCTCTGAAGCTCAGCATGAGGGAGAAAGGCTGATATATAGTAATTATGGTTTGAAATATTCTGGCATGAGATCTTTACAGATGTGGTCTATGTGAAGTGGGATTTTAAAATACAACTAGCTTTCTAAAATACAGACTTATTTTATTTTCTAATATTTTTTGAACCCAAAGACTTTTTTTTCCCACAATGAGAAAACTTCTTTGAAAAACTTTTACTCTCTATGTGGAAGTGCTTTGTACAAAGTCCTCACATTTTTTTTCTAATCTGACTACTAGAAAGTTAAGGAAAAGATCTGACAAATTGCCTTCTGAACATCCTAGATGCAGTTCTACGTTTGCATTGAATAAATTCATTCAGCAGGCTACTTTCAATTTTCTTTAGAATAGAGCTTAAAGAAATACAACTGAGAAAGTAAAGTAGAACTTTGCCACTGTACCAAGTCCTTTAGAGTTCGAAAACACTTATGTTTTTACATTTAAATTTGATTTCAGGCACTGCTGCAACTATTTCCATATATTGTTTATAAAAACTTGCTTACAGTCGAATTTCTTGAACAGTATTTCTGGAGTTTCTCTGAAGATCACCATAGTGTAATAAATTGTATATAGTATATTTACTTTTCTTTATAGAACAGAGCATATTTTCCACTGTTGCATATATTTATAAATGTTACATTTTAATTAACTAATTAAATAATTGGAAGTAGAAATGAACCCAAAGTTTCTATAGATCCTTATAAAGATCTTAAATAAAGATCACACAACACAGAGTGTTTATACGCTAGTTCTCATGAAACACTTCATCCGTTATTCCAGTGACTCAACTGGAAATAACTACAAGCCAGCTTCAACAATACCAACTTGCAGATATTTACCATTTGAATAAAAAAAGAATTATCACAAGCATAAAATTTCATCTTTCACTTTGCTTTTATAAGAACCTAGAAAGTGGCAAAAATGCTGTGTCTGGTTTTTGACTTTGTTAGCTGTGCTGTGTTCTGAATAAATGCTTGAATGAGACACAGCCACATAGCATCTTTCTGCTCACCCAGTTTCATTTGGAAAGACAGCTGAGATGAAATGGCAGGGAGAAAATGACCGTGTGCTCCAATGTGTCTGGAGCACAGCACACAGGTACAGTCACACCATGGAATGAACCTCCTCTATGGCTGGGATACAGCTTTTCAAAACACAGGTCTTTTCTCATGTCCAGGGCCAGAATTCCTAGTTAAAATTTCAAAGAAGGAAAGCCCAGAATCATCAAAAAAGGAACCTAAGCAAAGTGAGGACAATGTTGAGGTCCTGATCTGAATTAGGCACAAGAAGTCTATAAGCCAACGTTCCTGTATCGCAGATAAATATGATGACCACTGGGCCCTGGATACATTCATTAAAAGCTCAAAGGCAAAATCACAGCCTAAACAAAACAGATCAAAAAAAGATTCATTCCCAGTTTTATATATATTCAATGTAATCATCCCCAAAACAGGTGAGCATCTTTGCTAGTTTTACGTATGAATTGAGAAGCAAAGTCAGAGACAGGACCCTGTTTACTCAGCTGCTGACCTTTTTGTATAGCACAGATATGCTATAAATGACACAAATCTCTGTTTCATTCACCTTTATTTCACAGCTTCTGACAAAAGTAAAAGAGAAGCCTTCAGTAGGTTCCAATAGGATACTAAATCATGCTCCTATCTTTCAAATATAACCAAAAGTGAATCTGAATTCTCCTCAAATTAAAATCACAACTTCAGCTGAAGGAAGGGCTTAGAAGACCTAAGTCATCGAGGTAGAAAATGCTAGAAAAACAAAGTTAGAAAAAAAAGATAAGAGCTATAACAGAGAATTCAAATAGACACGGAGGCAGATGGTGTAACAGAATAGTCATAGTATACAGGTATAAGATTCAGACTATGAATTCATCATTTGAGTTTTCTTATTTCTCAATTATTTCAACTTTAACAATGCTCATTTATGTAGTTTTGTGAGAGAGATGGCAACAGGAGCAAAAGGGTTACTGCTGCACATACAGCAATTATTCCAGTTTCTTCTAGCAGAAGAAATAGCAGAGTTCCTTATAGAAATATAGAACACAAGAACCAAAAAGCTAGCTAGAAACAGGCATAACAGGGCAATAACTGCAGGTTCCCACATACAGAAAGCATATGCAATGCCCACCTTCACATTTCTATCTTGCCTGTCTCTGAAAGCAGAAAGATATTAATTAAATGAGATCACAAGGGAGTAGTATAATGTAGATAAATGTCCTCTGGCAGTGACCACAAATTTCTCCTTCACTTATGATTCAGAGCTAAATCTGTAACCAGGTCTGTGCAAATTAATACATTAACCTACTGAGTTATCTGTCCTATTATTATGATTTAATATGAGACATTATTAATTCCCAAGAACCTCAACATTGTAATTAAGTTCCTTGCCATTTCGAGTGCCAATTCTAAACCTAATGTAGAAAGCCTTTAAAACTAAATAGCTGGAAAAAAAACACCTTATAGCAGCTGGTAGACATATGGTAACTCATTAAAAACAAACTAATTTTAAGATTCTAATTTATAATCCATTATTGAGCAATTGAAACAACTCTTACAAGTTGCAATAATTGACTTCTTAAGGTGAATTATCAATAGATATTCCATTTGGTCAGAACTTTGCTTTTATATTTTGTTTGGGGTTTTTCTGTATGTTTCGGGGGTGTTTTGTTCGTTTGTTTGTTTTTGCCACACAGTGTCCACTGAGTCTGTCTCTATTCTTTATGGTTCAGATTCACCCCACTCACTTTTAGTTATACTGCTCAATTAAGAGTCTAATGCTAAATGAGATGCATTTCAGCTTAGGTATTCTCCCCAGTGATTTCCCACAAGCTGCCACAAGGCCAGTTATTCCTTTAGTATCTTCCTCTATACACCATCCAAGTGTTAGTAAAGTCTCCAATAATCAGGACATCAGTGGGTTGAGAAATGGATCCACACAGCATTTATGAAGCATCACAAAACTGGCTATTCTTTCTGCAAGTTGTTACACTCAGGCACCAGATAACATCCAGCGGCCATCTGTACTACAGGGAACCAAGTGCTTGCTGTTGTAAGACAGTTCCACTAAAGCAGGGACTAAATAGAGATAGTACGAAAATAATTCATTTTAAATATAATCCATGTACCATAGACCATTTTACTTTAATTTAGAGAAGCTTATTGAATTCACGGCAAGATCAGATTCAAATTATGAGCTGACAGTTAGAAATCTCTCTTTTGGATATAGAGATATAGATTGACCTTTCATCTTATCACCAGAATTATTCAAGACATTTGAGCTTATCCAACATAATTTACTTCTATGTAGATAAAATGAGAAATGCATTAGTTTATTCTAAGCCCATTCAAAGTAGAAGATTTGCCCAAATAAGACCTAAGGAAGATGATATGCAATTAGATTAGTCATAATTCAGACAGGTCAGAAATGGCTTTAGGCAAAAATGTTGTGAGAAAATCTTCTCCACGTGAGCCTTCCTTGTGGATTTCTTCCCTGATCATTGTACTCATCATGCAGAGTCAAAATGACCTCTGAAGTAGGGAAAAATTTATAACCTGGAGCCTTGGTTTTGATTACATTTCTCTATAACGCTAGACCTAAGGCGATACAAAAATTATTCTAAAAATTCCTGAAAGGTAGCTCTGAAAACATCACTATAAACACACAGGGCACTGGGAGAACCTTCACTAATGGTACTTGCCACAGGATGTTGACCTTGAAATGCAAAACCACAAGGAATAAAATGAGTAGACAATACCATCCTCTATCCAGAAAACATACTTTCAAGTTGTCACAATACCTGTATGAATAATAATTTTAGAAGTCTACAAAAGGAGGACTAGAAGGGGCAGCAGAGTGAAAAATTATTTCACCTTTCTGACAGTCTTTCCACACAATTTTTCGATTCTTCTCATAATGTTTATTCAGCCAGATGAGGATGATTCGTTCATGTGTAGAATAAATATTACTGGATAAAGGTTCTGGTTTTATTTTTGGCATGCTCTGCATGCCTTTCGAGTCAAACAAATCAGTGATATTATGTGAAGAAACGCGTGGAAGAACTAATATCTGAAATTAGAAAAAGTGGTTTTAAAAAATGTAAAAAGTACAATTTCAAACTGAACGATATATATAAAAAAATGGGATTCAAACTCAAAGAAATTTTCAATTTGGTAAAGGTACAAGAGATTATACATTAGCATCAATGCATAATATACAGGTGAACAGATCTGCAGAGGTTTTAGGGAATTCCCTTCCCTCCTTAAACTAAATGTAAATTCAAGTTGGGGCAGTTGTGAAAGTGGCCCAATGTGTCTTGGCCCAACACTCCCAGTGGTCTCTAATTCCCTGATATACACACATATACATATATACATATATATATACACACACACATATATATGTACACAGACAAATTTATACAAACATATGCAGGTGCGTGCAAAAAAAAATCTATTGTAAATATAACAAAATGTTTCATAGTGGGCATTAGAAATAAAAGGCTATTTCATTTTATTTAATCAGAATGGAAATGATTTGCAGGCTCTCTTTAATTATTTCTATTCAAATTAGTTTCCAACAGCTGCTTGTAATGTATACATTGAATAGGCACTGAGGAGAAAGTGTTAAAAGAACTATTTAACCCTTCCTTTTGCTACAGCTACATGAGCCTAGTCTTTCATAGAATATGACAGACACAGCTACAACCATCCTGCATCACAACTCCAACATCTACACCTGGCCTTTTTTTTTTTTTTTTTTTAATTTTATTTTTTCTCCTCTCTCTCTCTCTCTCTCTCCAGTCCACTAGGACTGTATCATCCACTGCTTTCATCTTTTCCTGAAGATAAGTTTTCTGATACACTAATATTAAAAAGCTAGGTAACTACTGATGTACACAACACCCAAATTACACCACCCATATTTCTTTGCAAACAACAACAAAAAAAAAGAGTCCAATTTCAGATTCCGTTAAAACTTTTAAGGCTAATAACTATACAATATAATGCAATTCCACACTCCCAACTTAACTTTGCTTTAGGTTTTTTAGTAACGATTGGCTTTCTCTCCATGACATTTTACTGAGCTGCACAGTCATATCTTAAAAAAAAAAAAAAAAAAACTTAAAACTGAAATAAAAGTATCCTCAGCTTTAAATGCGAGGAAAGCAATCAAAAAAGTAGCTAACTAAATATTGTTTCATGCCTTTCCAAAAGGTAGCCACTTTGTAAGATAACCTATTCAGGTTATTTCATCAGTATAACTTGACATTTTATAGAGAGGATCAAACAGGAAAGTGTAATGGCAAATACGTGTCGGAGAAAATATGAAGTGTTATTTATCCATAAAAAAATATTTTGATGTCTCTTACAAAGAAAGCCTCCAAACCATCCTAATCCAAAAGGCCAGTGTCTACATTCTTATTTAGACCCTGCTGAGGGACATTACCGCATTGTGGCCTTTCGTAGTATGCTGTTTATGAAAATGTTCAGGGGCAAGGAAATGCTATTATACCTAACAATAAAAAGCATTCTTACTAGTAAATGCTCACTAAATCTAAAGTTAGATTTTCTTTCCTGAAAATCTGACCTGAGTCTAGAGATAAGGGACTGCATATACTGTCAGCCCATGCATTTTCAGTAGCATAAGTTTACAAGATATATAGAATAAAAGCAGTATTTTAGTCTTTGATCAAAAAGAATGCATTATGATTTATGAATTCTCTCTCTAGTCTCCACATGGTCCACTCATTCTTCAGAAAAAAAACTGAATTTCCATTTCTGGGAGCTGGATTTACATGCAAATATTTTCCTCTGGGATTTCTACAACAGCAAAAGATTTCATAATAAGAAAATGGACCAAAATGCACCTGGTATGGACATGAAAGAAATCTGGGATGACTTTTTGGTGGATAAAAGTAATACTAGCTATTTATAATTAGTAGCATTTTATCTCTGAAAGTTAGACCTTCTAAGTGCAAACTATTCTGAGATGGCATTTACCTCACCAAAACATTTGAACACATTGCTAAAATACCAGAACTACGAAAATTTAATATGTTGCCTTTTAAACTAGTCTTAAAGATTCTGTTAGAGAAAAACATTTGAAACACAAGTATATTATTAACAGACATTTGAAAAACCCTTGAATGTAACAAAGATTTTTCTGAAAACATTTTACGATCACATCTTCAGAATCTGAATAGCAAATATATCTACAATTTACCTTGTACACCTGCAGTAACAAATCTGTCCAAGCTCGTTTGCTCATTTTCTCAAATACACTTTTCTCTAGCATAAATAAATGCATGTCACTCCATATCTTTAAGTTCGTCACATCACCTTTTTTCAACACTGCCATCTGAGCCTTCAGATAAAGGAATGAGATTTATTTTCAATATTAATCTCAGCAGTTTGGTTTGGAAATTCACAGGACTATAAGAAAAGTGGATAATGAATCAATGGCATAAATAGATGGCTGATATATCTGCTATAGTGCAACAAGGATTAGTACAAGAACCATTTATAATCTATCATTTTCTCAAGCGCAATACAGAATTGACAGGAGTTGAAAACAGCAATCAAGAGCGACAGGCAATACAGAGGAAATTTTAAAATGAGAATAATGGGCGGAAAATATAAAAACAAACTTGACCTTGAAAAAAAATCACTGGAAATTAATCACAGATATTTGATGTGAGAGAGAAAGTGGGATGGAAAAATTCTGGCATTAAAGTTCTACTCATTTTTACATATGTGCTTCGATTTCTGCAGTATCAAATATCACAATGGGACTACTCATAGTACATAGAAAATTCCCAGTAGTATTTGAACGATTAAAACTACAGCATATAGTTTTTGTTTAAAAAAAAAAAACACAAACAAACAAAACACACACTACCTTCAGAAAAGTTTCCGCTGTAATCCATTTCCTATAATCATCAGGATCGAGCAGAAATTCTGGCATAACATGAGGCAGAAGTGCTCCTTGGCTTCTAAATCAACAAAATACAAAGAGTTGATACATAGGCAATATAATAATTTTTAAGGGTCATTCAAACTTTTCCATTTACTCAAGCTATCTGTAAGCAGTAATGAGTCAGTTGGGAACTGATTGGAAATTATAAGCACTCCTAAATAATAGCATGGGAAGAAATTCAAATATTCGAGGTACTGCACATCCTGAACAGACTTTCTCTATCAGGGGTAACTTGAAGTATGAAGTATGCAAAATGTTAAAAACCTGACTACCTCCTTGTCAGAAGCTGCCAGACTATAAGCCAAAAAAAATGAAGTACATAGGAAGATCTTTCCGATATAACTTTAATGTGAGTAGATTAAAGATGTTCTTTCATTTCTTCAACTATATCTTGGAGTATTTCCACTTCTGATCAGCGTGTATAAATACCTCAAGGGAGGCAGTGAGGAGGAGGGGGGCGGCCTCTTTTCAGTGGTGGGCAGGGATAGGACTAGAGGAAATGGCTTCAAACTGAAGCATCGGAAGTTCCACAGGAACTTAAGGAAGCATTTCTTCACTGTGAGGGGGCCAGAGTCCTGGCACAGGTTGCCCAGAGAGGTTGTGGAGTCTCCTTCTTTGGAGATCTTTAAAACCCGCTTGGATGCAGCCCTGTGCCACGTGCTCTAGGGGACCCTGCGTGAGCAGGGGGGTTGGACTCGATGACCTCTGAGGTCCCTTCCAACCTTCGGCATTCTATGATTCTATGATTCATTCTATGATTCTGGTTTTAATGCTATGAGTAAATGCCTTTATTTGCATTTTACTATAAAGAAACTTGAGACAAACAGCATATAATAAAGATATTACTCAAATATATAAGTGATAATAAATAATAATAGAAATAATATCTATCAGTATGAGAAAAAATAAATGTTTCCCATAGCCGGTACTATCCAAGTAGGCTTTCTGGCATACTCAAAGATATTGAGGGACATGCTTGAACTTGCAGGATGACAGATATAGGCATCATTACCATCTATCAAGATATAGTGTTATTTTCATTCCTAAGTACTACCTCATCCATCAAACAATGGGTTACAAATGACATATTAAAACCTTAGAAGCTGAAGAAATCTCAGTCCTACAAGACCAAAACCAAAGTCAGTATTAACTTAGGTTATGGCTGTAAAATCCTATACTAAAGGTAGAAATGTTATGAAAGGCTTTAAGTCTTGAAAAGTAGTTAAGACACTTATGTGTCAACTGGTGGGAACTGAGAGGAACCAATCAAGCTGCACCAACTGCCAATAAGGTAAGAAAACATAACAAATTTGTGCCTTTGGGTCCAAGAATGCATTTAGTACCCTAATGAGCATTAGTAAGAGTTGTTAGCAGGATGAAGGGAGGATGATCACCTCCTTCATCAGCTCTGGTAAAGTTACATTTGCGATTGGTTTCCTCATGCAAGAGAGACATGGTGCTACCGGAGAGAAAGCAGTTGAGGGCTACTAAGATAATGAAGGGACTGGAGCAGCTCTCTAATGTTTTATGGCTGAGAGAGAATGATTTTCTGTTTGCAAAGGTCCAGCATCATTAGACCCAGAGAAAATCTTCACATTCTTGTAAATGTTGTGAATATTTTATCTGAAAGGCCAGGATGGTTGTTGCATCTATAGACTCAATTGTTCTACTACAGACAGCAGTTATTCTGCTATCAAGAGACTGAGACAGCTTTTAGAAAAGATCACTAAACTTACACTGTTCACAACACTTTTTATAGTTTTCCATCAAGCTTTTTGATTCAGTGCATTGAGTAAAATTATGGGATCTAATGGGGTGACTCGGAGTTCCTGAGAAGATGGCATTATTGGAAGAGCAATGCTCTAATTGAACAGAAAGATATATTTGAGATAGTGGTAGACAAACAGCAGGGCCTTCTGCTTGCAAAGAAGTTTAAGCAAATTGCATTTTATCATACCTTAAGATATCCAAGATGCTTATGTTGATAAAGACATCTCAAAAAGATACCTAGCAACAGCATTACTCTGAATTTCGTTCTGCTTTCATACCTTAAGCACCAAAAAAGCTGTCTGTTGGCTCACTTGGTAAATCACTGTAGTGTAGCTACTGGCCCAATTTTAAATGAGTTCAGATAACAGCTACATTCCTGTATATCATTTTCACATGACAAGAAACTTGCCTTTAGGACAAGTAAATGACAGCTCTTAAAAGGCTGGAGTTTCTTGAACACTGCTGAGGATGTTGGAAAAATATGAAAATCCTGTGTTTCAAGACTTCTGATGATCTCTAAAGCTTTCAGGACATCAGGCTTTATTGAAAGTAATTTTCATTTCTGTTTCACAGCAGTGAAAACCAAAAAGGATGAGGAATAGTTTATTAACTTTTTTGATTCACATATTGAATCAAAGAAGCTATCAAAGAAGCTAGCTAATAACTAAACCCATTCATAGGAAGAAGTAGTACTTCCATTTCTTGGTGTATTATTAATATGAAAGGCTAACAGATAACTGGCTAATAGACAGCCAGTAGGACAAAAGGCATCAGTGGAATAGCAAGATCATCAATAACAAACATGAATTCTCTATCTGTGTGATTCTGTGATGTCCTTAATCTCTCTAAGGCATTAGGTAGAAATTTGTCTTCTTTCATCATGAAGTTCCTTTGGGACTCCATTATAATATTTGTGCATATAAACTACCAAAAGACTTATTTTAGTATAAGCTTCACAGAACACCTTGCTAAAAAGTTAATTAAAATTTATCACACATAAATCTTAGATCACAAAATATACAGAAAAAAAACCATACCAATATAAAAGTGAAACTGAAGAGCTCTATATTTTACCATACCTATGTACTTACTCAAGGAAATCAAGTAGTGCAGAATGCTGCCAGCAGAGCTGCAATATTCCTCTAGTTGGGTTAGAGGACAATGACCGGCTGGATGTAACGCCTGGTAACAACCGTCCACTCAGATGGAATAACATGTCATGAACAGTATCTTTGCCAAAGTTTTGTTTAAAAAGCTCTGAAGAACTCATCTGGACTTGATGCACATTACTAGGAGAGGAAAAGTTCCTGAGAATATGCTTTAACATTAGCCTGTTTTGTGTATTTAAAAGTAAAATATTATACCACTCATCATAATAAATTTTAATAAGTCATAAAGAAAAAATACAGACATGGAAGCTGAAAGCAGGTGCTTTTTCCTTCTACAGATCTTCATAGTAATATAAAATTTTTAAATCATATGGAATATTTAATAAGTGTATATGAAATATTCCTCAAGTACACTTGATGAATATCTATACAGTCATATCCCAAAAGAATGTGTTTTTCATCATTAGTAGAAAACTAGATAACATCAACTAAGTGATGTTACTGTGACTACTGTATTTCCAGGGCATTTGCAAGACTGAATAATGAAGTTTGCTTCCCACTGTCTCTCGACTTTCAGAGTACAAAGGGGGAAAAAGACACATTGCTTAAATACTTATTTATGCCATCAAAGACAATACAATTGCTTTTAAAACTATATTCATTCTAGGATCAAATTCAAAAGCGTTATACACAATTTTAACTGTCTATTCAACAGTCTACAACTTCACTATAGCATATTAGGGAATCATACTTGTAAATACACCTTTCAAAATAAAAAAATTATAGCATCTAACATCATTTTCATATTGCAGTGTGTAGATGCTACAGTTGTAATATACAAGTGTGCATTAGTGTGCATTTATATCCCTTAGATCATACCCAAAGTAACTTAAGAGGCTAATACATACAAGTCAGCTTTCAGCAGATATAAATTACCGTCTTAGTGAATATGGTATTGAAATAGGATTAGGTCCCTTTGACCAACCAAAGAGACTGAACCAATTCTGAACAGCAGCTAGGACTTTTTGAAAGAAGATGTATTCCTCCTCCTTCTCATCAGGAAAAAGGGATAATTCAAATCTTTCTCTTCTCACATCACTTTGGCTGTCTGATTCGCTCATCTTTAAATACTCATTTTCAGAAATAGTATCTGCGTCTGAATGACATAAAAAACACCAAAAGATTCCTTATTTCACTTTCTAGTATAAAAGCAACATGTGTACTTTTAATGTAATTACTCTCAGAAAACTCAAAATTGTCACACAAAAGATGATCAGTTCCTATTTCTGCATAAACTGGAATAAATTATTGGCATTTACATGTTTGGTAACAGTACCAATTACATTATTAGGACCAAATTTCACTTTAAAAATATGTATTAACCAATAAGAAAAAAAAAAAGAAATTCAGAGATATCCTACTCAATCCTAGGCAATTTTCTTAAAGAAACAGTCTTACTCACAGTAGATACTACTTTACCAGCTCAACAAAGCTAGTTTCTCACTCCAGTGACATGGCAGTGGCCAAGTGACTTGTGTTCATGTAAATTAGCATTTAGACTGCGTTGGTCTTAATGAGCCTACTTCCTGCCTGATAAGCCTTAGGACTCACCTCTCTTCTTCCTCCTTCTCTTCCTAAATCATCATCTGGTTAAAACTTTTATTACATATTTTAACCACTACCAGTGTTTATTACATAGTTTTATTGTATGAAAGATAATAAGACAACCATTTTCTTCACAGCACAAATACATGACTTCAGGAGTATTTTAAAAATTTATTTTGATGTTCTTATTGCAGTGTGTTTCATTAAATACACATTAAATTATGCAAAGACAAAACTAGTATCTTGCACAATGGAAGAAATATCCAGTTAGGATTCAGAAGAAAAAGCAGCACACTATAACAGGAGCAAAAGAGGGGACTCCAGCCTTTTATAACACGAAGCCAAATCTGAGCCTGTGCACTAATGTTGGCTGACAAGGCCAGCACTTTTTCATCTTTTCAGTGGCCCCTCTGCCACACTTTATTGCCCTTTCAGATCTGGAACCAAGTTCGCTCTGTCAAACTCCTCTTACATCATTTCACTAAAAATGAATCATGTTAGTAAGGAGCTACTATTGAATCTGTTCAACTAACCCTACTTGTCTTGGCAATAGGTTAGAGAACAACATGCAAACAGCCCTACCAGCAGATCTGGCAGACTAGATCCAAAGGACTAACTTCTTCAGCTAGTAAACTAGCTGCTATGATGACAAATACCAACAGCCTCAGATGGGATCTATTTTTTTTTTTCCTGTGATTTTTAAATTGCCTAGGTTTTTATTCCACTTGAGCAGGAAAAGGCAGGAAAGTCTTCTGTGTTTATCCTCTAGCCCATCTTTGCTATGATATTACTGGAGAGATAAGCCTCCTCATTATCCATGGATTACACATGCAGATATCTTTCAAGCAAAGATTACAAATGTGAAATATGTGTCTTTAAACTCATAAACTGAAAAGCAATCTTAAGAGCTCAAAGTGTTACAAGTGAACAATTGTGCCCTACCTGATATGGAATCTTCATAGGTTGAGGTAGTGGTTACACCAAAGGAAGGTGAGGAAGTACTAGAGGAAACTGATTGTGGAGTAACACACAGATCCAAAACCGCTTCACTAGTACTGCAGTCATTCTCATTACTGTCTATAAAGCAAGATTATAAACCGTAGTTAAGTGAAAACCACAGTAAAAGTTATTTGTCTATGCTCTAATAACTCACAGAGTTATCTAATTCTTTTTTATCGTGGGCTTCAATTAATCAAGTAACAGGTGTTGTTTGACTTATAATAATATCTTATTTCTGTCGCTAGAATGCCAAAAAAACATACCTACGTATTTTTTCAATTAACTGTGTATTGCACAGGATGAGTTTGTACACTTGCTGAAAAGAATCTCCCAGAACAGCACTAATTCAGGAATTCTAAGTTATCAACCAAACACTCTTAAGGGACTTCTCTCTTATATGGAGATCACAGCTCTCCATATGAGCAATCTCAATATAACATCATCAAGCCTTCATAGACTCCAATCACTTTCTTTTCCTCCACACAAATAAGTCAAATTCAGAATTATGCCTTGCCAGTTCACCACGTCTTTGTGTTATTAATGATCTTAAGCTTTTATAATAACATACTATTATAAAACAACCTCAGATTTCTGCCATGTTAGAATGTAGCTTGCACATTTTACTTTTGTTCATTTTTTTCTAATAAAAAATAGACCTCACATAAAATGGATATTGAACTACATGACACCCATTTCAGATACAAAAGCATTGCTTAACAGTGGGACAAATCGGTTGAAAAATATTGTCATTACATCTAAAAATACTCCTACTCTGTGACACCAGATTTTTGTTGAGTCTTAAAATATTGTCACACTCCGCAGTCTTCCAGGACACAGTATCTAAAAATATTGAAAATCATATTCAATGATAAAGTAATGACCACATTTATCATAATATCAAGTGGCTTTTTCTTCTTTTGCCTTCTTCATAACATATCAAAATGTTGCCATATGAAATGGCAATAATCATTCTTTATAGATCTAAATCAACTTTTCAAATTTCTTCTCTATTTTTGGGCTGCCTTTTCTACTCATACTTTTAAATTATCAAATAATCTATAAGTTTTAGTCTGTTTTTAAATAGCCAATATTTTGTATAATTTTCCTTGTTTTCAACAAGAAAATAGGAGCTATTAAACTATGCAATTTAATTGCTAGCATCACCTTGCAATTAATGCGCAAAAATGCCATCTTGATAGCACCTCTGTTACCATACTGAAAATACAGTCATACGACTACATATAATTTAAAGGGTAAAATGTGGATTGCTTACTGCTTTTGAAGATGATTTGTTGATCACAGCGGTGAAACGCTAAGTAGGGGTATAGTGTAAGGAGGCAGTTCTCTGCTACTGCAGCAACCTGAAGTGAGAACCTATTTAGAGCAAACAAACACAAAAAAAGTTAAACCTATTAAGGGAATAATACCAATCTTCAATTCTTTTCTAGGAATACAGTTGCCTTCAAAAGTTTCCCAAACAAGTTTATCAGATGTTCACGTTATTTCATTATGTTATAGCTCTCTATTTAGCCATTTAGCAATCAAGGTATTTCAATACAAGAACAAACAACAGAAATAATGTGTTCAGGTAACTTCTTTTTAGTATACACATGACAGCACATGCTGAGATGGTGAAGGTTCATATAAGATTTCCACAACATAATTTATTTACTTTGAGCATGCACAGCTCATTAATCTGGAAGTTCAGGAGTTAGAAAAGATTGATTTCACCAAGTGCACTGTTTCTCTCTGAAAATAGAAACAATTAAAATTACAGCTCATATTTATGAGCATACTAAAGGGGATTGTTAAGTTGCCAAATGTATCCTATAACTTTTGTCAAGGGCAGCTTTCTTGAAAGGCAACTTTGCTTTTGATTTAAAGCTTTTCTATAAATGTTAGATACCTCAAAATAAATATTTAGAATAGATTCAATTTAAAAACAATGAGATATTGATTATAATTGCTAGAATATAACAGAAATTGATCTACAATCTCCTGTGCTCAGTAGAGTGCTTGCACTGTCTGCAGCATACCTGCTGAGGTGCAGCAATTTTTAGATCTTTTGGTCTAAATCTCTCAGGATGGTGTCATCTAACCAAAATTATTGTGCTTAAGTAACCCATGATAATTATTTTTACATATGTTCCTAGCTAATTGCAATTAAAAGGTACTTCAACTTAGCTTAGTCCTATGTTGCTGCACAGCTTTTCTTTCATTTCACATTACTTTATTCCTGGCACAAAGGCAACACAATTTAAAGGAAAATACATTTTTGAGAACTAGGAATTTGGAAAATATACTTGGAATAAATATAAATATTTCCCATTATCTTAGACTATATACTGAAGGATAAATTACCATTTTAAGCAAACTTCATAAATCCTTTCTTATTGATTTCTGACATGTCCTATTTGTCTTCTATAGTTTTATTATAGAATGATCCAACACTAGCAACATTTTCTAAGTATCAGAAAGTAATTATGTTTTGTTTCCTCCTCCGTACTTCCTTCTCCAATTAGATAATACACTGCCTTTCAGAGGATCTTCATTAGGGAAAAACCCTAACAAAATCGGTATCTATATTCCCTATGTGTATTCACATTGTTATTTAGATGTGATTGCTAATAGTCACTTAAACTTAGATATAAAGTGTTTTAGTATTTTCTTTGGCCATGTTAGTCCTCTGAGGGCCTCGGGACAGTGAGCATCTTGACCACATTCATCTTACTGGGGCATCTCCAAATCACGTACTATTCGTTATAGCTAACTTTATGGTCAATAGCAGCCAGAGGTTCAGGTGGCTATGAGAGGTATATCTACATTAGCAAACATATATCTATACATGCTCAGACTCTGTGTCAGAATGTCATAGTTTTTCTACCTTCATCAAACCATTTATTTGGTTTGATAATACCATGAAGACATTCAGGATTAAGAACTATAGCACAGAAACGCTTGCCAGCTTTTAACTTATGACTTTACTGTGATATATGACAATATATATATGACAGGTATATGTTAGGCTAGCTACAGACAACAAAATTATATACATACTGATGCATACTAAACGTGCTAATAGCAATATGGCTACTGTGCTCTGTATTAGAATATTTTTTAAACGCAAACAATGAAAACAAAAAAAAAGATAGACTACTGAGCTGCTAATGGATTTATCATAATATTTTCCTAAAACAAAAAAAGTCAGTGATCCTTCTAAAGTAAAGATATGTTTCATTTGTTTCATTACGAGAAGATTTGTTAGTATCTACAAGATCTTGTTCATCTGTAAGTTAGCAGAAATTCATTACCAAACACTGAAATTATTCTGATAGGGGTTTTCCTATTCATAACACATTACCAGAGGACATTTTTAGTGTCATCTTCCATACTCAATCTTTGGAAATTTTCCTTAAAATTTATAAACCATACAAAGTTGCAAGCAATTTGCCAAAAAAAAAAAAAAAAAATGCAGGAAGCTCGTAAGGTGGCCAAATGTAAAGTTACACTAGCTTTACGTTTTAGTGGGTTTAGATTTTACATTCCTGCAATTAAATTTCACTACTTTATGTACAAGATTGTGTACAAGACAAGATCTTAATTGTCTCAATCAAGAAAGCATGTAGCAAAAGCTACATAAAATTTATGTACAGCTTTATGAAATTATAACCCTGTTTGGGGTACTGTTAGCAGAAAATCACTAAGTGAATTTCAGCACAACCAGTTGTGAAGGAAACGGCAAGATGACTTCAAATACAACTGAAAGAACTGCTCTCTCCTTAAGTTCTGTACTTCTCTTTTAAACAAACACATATATTAAATGGATATATCAACATATGCTAGCAGCTGCAGCAACCTGGATCTTATCACACATCATGATCTCAGTAAATATAAGATCAAGATCTCAGTAAATATAAGAAGTCATTTCCCTGTACAGATAATCCTCAATCCTCTCACATTAAAGCATATACATTTCTTCTCTACACACAAGTTACAGCACGTCCACTAACTTATTAGAAACATATGTGGAAATACCCAAGGAAGATGCAACTCCTTCACTTTTTAACCTGCAAGCATGTAGGAGTAGGGGAGAGAAGATGGAGTAAGACTAATTTATATATTCATAGACATCATATGAATGAATTCAGATGTTTGTACTATTGGACTCAGTCACAATTCTAGTTTCTCAGGTGAAAGGGAGCAACTTAGTCAACTCCATCATTGATAAAGATTTGAGATTTTGAAACATGACAAATCCTTGATTATCGTGGGAAGGAAACCCAAAAAAAGCATATCCCAGAACAACTGCAGAGCAGCTTAACTACATACCAAACTCAGTGATTGACAAAGACACGGCCACACAATCTCTAATAAGGAATAACCTTAATAGGATGCACCCACGACTCCTGAAGAAGCTGGCCTGGTCACGTTGAGGCTGCTCCTGATCTGTGAGGGGTCACAGCATCTGGATGGGTTTGCTGGCAGGCTGCTCAGCTTGATCTCTGGGAAGGTAGTGGAGCTACCTCAGGACTAATCCTGGACACCATTTCCAAACATATTCAGGACAAGAAGGTGAGAAGACAAGAAGGTTCACAAGGGGGAAATGATGCCTGACTAATCTGATGGCTTTCTACAAGATGACAGGCTCAGGGGATGAGGGGAGAGCAGTAGATGGGTTTATCTCAACTTTGACACAACCACCTGGAACATCCTCATAGACCAACTACAAAGTAGGGATAAAAAATAAATGGTGACTGGGAGGACTGAAAATACGTTGACCTGCCAGGCTCAGGGGGTTGTCACCAGTGATACAAAGACCATCAGGAGGGCAGGCCAGTCACCAGCAGTGTCCACCAGGCATTGATTCCAGGGCCAACACACTTTTAAATTCTTCATTAATGATCTGCACGATGGGACACCATTAGCAAATTTTCAGGCAATACAATATTGGGAGGAATGACTGGTACACTGGATGAGTGTGCCGCCATTCTGAGGGACTTCAACCATCTGAAGAAATGGTCCAACAGGAGTCTCATCAAGTTTAACAAAGGGAAGGATCAAGTCCTGCATCTGGGGAGGAAAATCTCCATGCACTAGAGATGTTGGTGAATGACCTGTTGGAAAGGAGGTTAGCAGAAAAAGCCCTGGGTATCCTGTTGGATAACAACATGAACATGAACCAGATGTGTTCCCTTGCAGCAAGGGTGGCCAACAGCATGCAGGGACACATTAGGAGTAGCCTTGCCAGCAAGTTGAGCAAGGTGATCCTTCCCTTCTGCTCAGCCCAGAACTGGGCTCCTCAGTACAAGACCGACATGCATGTTCTGGAGAGTTCAGTGGAGAGTCTGACACACACGGAATCAATGCAAATTGGAATTTTGATTCAGAGGTGATCAGTATCCCAACCCTGAGAAGTCCAGATCTTTTATAGAGGGAGCTCAAGTTTCCACAATTAACGATACAATAAAAATATTGACACATGCATGGTTTGACATGATATGTACAGAACTCATAGCTGGTCAAGTAGCCATGTTTTTTCTAGTGGTCATAATGATGTGAACCCTTAGTTTCCCAATAGCAGAATGCTTCAGCTGACAGTGATCAACAATAAAGGAGGGGTAGAAAGCTATTTTATCTAGAGTTGAAACTTAGTTCTTCAGTGCAAACTATTAAAATATATTCTATTATTTTGAAAACTGGAAAAATAATAACTTAATTTGGTTTCGCTTGAATTAAAAATAACATTCTTAAAGTAATATTTGCAAATAGTTCCAATACTTTATCTTATGAAATATGAAAGGAGAACACTCAACAAATCACCCAATGGTTGAGGTTGGAAGGGACCTCTAGAGAGCATCTAGTCCAACCCCCCTCCTCCAGCAGGAGCACCTGGAGCACAGGGGGGCATCCAGGCAAGAAATGAATAAAATGTTTTCAGCTGCTGACACTGTGGGACCTCATGAACTATTAAACAAAACAGGAACCTATTAAGAACAGTTAAACCCTTTGGGGATTTTTGTTTGTTTCATAAGTTTATTATTAAAGGTTTAGAAAGTGCCCAAATCCTTTCTTGCCCAAGATGCAAATTAAAAAAAGCAATTTAAATTGTTAAGTCACACTCTTAAATTGTTAAGTCACAATCTAAAAAGAACTGCTCAAATTATCAGATAATTAAGTGAATCAGGTTTGAAGTTCTACACGTTTGAGTCTCCCATGCAAGGAAGAAAAAGACTCGAAGTCTGAGTAAATCACCATGTATTTCATTAGAATAATAATTATATAACATGGATTAGAGAATCAGGTATCTATTTAGACATCCCAAGTTAAAAGAAAGACTTTATTTCATTCTTATAAGAATAATTTTCCCCAAAGCT